ATTTGGACCAAACTGTGATGATAAAAGTTTGCAATTCTGTGTGATTAGTAGAGCCCTTCAGAGAGTATTATCTATAACCAATTTGGTTTAAGTTTCTAGTTAAAGTTCTCTTCAGGTATCTTATTCTGAATACTGTTTCTGCAACCCTTAGAAGTCTGTGAATTGGGGTCTGTCAGAATAAGACATAGCCAGGGTTTTGTGTAATGTTTTGCCCAAATCTTACACCAATGTAACCCCAAATTCTGCCCCTTCTGTCTTAACTTCACAGTCATAAGGATTAGAAAACTGAAGAAATGAGAAAAAGTTGAACATTTGAGGAAGCTGAGTTTTATACCTAATTTCATATTACCTTCCTTTCATGACGTGATGTGCAGTCACAGTATATATAGTCCTGATTTCAAAGCTGTTCTTACAACGCACAGGTTGCAACTCTTTTGAACACAATTGTTGTTAACTTAATTCCTGATGTAAGTCTGTTATTTTAGTACTGTCATGTTACAACTAAATTTGGACTCAAATCCCAGATCAGTCTCCCACAAAGAGGGAACAAAGGCCATAGACAAAAGAAACAGTTTTGTTTGCTTTGATAAACCCCATGGGTTATGTTTGGCCTGACAACTGAACTCTGGACATCCTAAAGTTACACAGTTAGTTTCAAAAATAATGAACATCTGTTTTCTAAGCAACTCCTTTGAAGTTTGCAAGCAGCCTGTCATTCCCTGCAGATCGATTTATACTGCCATAATGTTTTAAAGTTATCTAAACATTAGTGTTACTAAAGTTGTTTTCAAATGGATCCTAACTGTAGTGTTAAAAGTGACATTCATTGATGCCTTGTTTTGCTCAAGTCATGATTAGTTTTGAGATTTACAGCAATCTTTTTAGCATTCTCTTGTGACCAGAAAGAATGATTCTGGTAATAAAATAGCTTTAAAACAGAAAAATACATATTTACATTGTTGTTGTTATTTGGTTTTGTTGGTCATTTGTTTCTTTTGATCCTTCTTTTAAGGCCTATATGTAATTGTGTATTTTACAGATTTGTGAAACGGTTGCTTCATTTTGATAGCTTTTTATTCATTGTTGTTAGGTGTCATCAAGTCACCTCCAGCTCATGGCAACCCTATGAATGAGTAACCATCGAAATGTGCAATCTTCAACAGTTTTACTCAGCTCTTGCAAACTCAAGGCTATGACTTCCTTTAGGAATTTAGTCAATCTCATGCTTGGTCTTCCTTTTTTGTCCTGCTGTCTTCAACTTTTCCTAAATTATTGTCTTTTCCAGTGAGTCTTTTCTCATAAAGTGCCCAAAGTATGACAGATTCAGTTTCATCATACAGTACTTGTTTCTAGACAGAGTGCAGGCTTGATTTGATCAGGTTTTTGTAAGTATTCTAATAGGGAACTTTGCAGCACTTTAAAAGTGAAACACTTTTGAAATAGTGTGGATCAGAAGTGGAGTCCTTTGCATGTTTATGAAGTCTCTATGGCCGCAAACCTATCAGCAGTGCCAACTAGAACAGGAATTGAATCAATGGGATTTATATAAGTAATCACTCAACATTAATCTGTTGATTCACTGAGTCTTCTTTATTTGAATATACAGTAATGTAATATAATTTAGGCCACAGTGTTTTGTGTGTTCAGTACTGCTTACTTCCTAGTAAATGTATTTATAATCACAACTTGAGACACAACTGGTCAACCTTTTTCTTTAATTGCTTTAGGACCTTCTTGTGGGTTACATTTTTGTTGTGGAATGAATATAGAATCATAGAATAGTGAAGTTGGAAGGGCCTATAAGGCCATTGAGTCCAACCCTCTGGTCAGTGCAGGAATACAAATCAAAGGATATCTGCCAGGTGATTGCTTAAATTTGAGTTAACTGGTTCCACTGTCATACTGTTCTAACAGTTAGGAAGTTTTCCTGATATTCAAACAAAATCTGGCTTCCTGTAACTTGAGTCCATTGTTGTGTGTCCTGCGCTCTGGGATGATCAAGTATTTGAAAATTGCCATCATATCTCCCCTCGGTCTTCTTAAGACAAAATATGCCAAGTTCTTTCAGTCTTTCCACATAGGGCTTGGTTTCCAGCCTCCTAATCATCTTTGTTGGCCTCCTCTGAACTTGTTCCAATTTGTCAGCACCCTTCTTGAAGTGTGGTGTCAAGAACTGGACACAGTACTCTAGATGAGGCTTAGCCAATGTCAAATAGAGGGGAAGAAGTGCCTTGTGGGATTTGGAGACTATAATTCTACTAATGTATCCTAAAGTAGCATCTGCCCAATGTCAAATAGAGGGGAAGAAGTGCCTCGTGGGGTTTGGAGACTCTACTAATGTATCCTAAAGTAGCATCTGCCTTTTTTCTAGCCACATCACACTGTTGGCTTATATTCAGCTTGTGATCTACAATGATTTCAAGATCCTTCTCGTTTGTAGTATTGCAGAGCCAAGTATCTCCCATCTTGTAACTGTGTGTTTGGTTTCTTTTTCCTAAGTGAAGTACTTTGCACTTATCCCTGTTAAATTTCATTCTGTTGTTTTCAGCCCAGTGCTCAAGCCTGTCCAGATCATTTTGAATTTTGTTTCTGTCTTCCAGGTTAGCTGTTCCACCCAGTTTTGTGTCACCTGCAAATTTGATTAGCATTCCCTGCATCCCCTGATCCAGGTCATTAATAACAATGTTGAAGAGCACTCGGCCCAAGACTGAGCCCTGGAGTTCTCCACTTGTTACGTCCTCCCAATTTGAGAAGGAGCCATTAATCATCACCCACTGAGCATGATTCTGTAGCCAACTGTGTGTCCACCTGACAGTTCTATCCAGCCCACACCTAGTTAGCTTGCTAATCAGGATATCATGGAGCACTTTGTCAAGATATTTTCCTGAGGTCAAGCTATACAATGACTACTGCATTCCCTTTGTCTGTCAGGGAGGTTACCCAGTCAAAAATGATTAGTCTGGTAGGATTTGTTCTTGACAAATCCATGTTGGCTTCTACTTAATACTGCATTGTTTCCAAGATACTTGCATATAGACTACTTCTCCATTGGAGAAGGGCTAATGTTGTCCCTGTCTACAAAAAGGGGGAAAAAAGGAGGAACCTGGGAATTACAGACTAGTCAGCCAATCATTTGGGACCTCACTCATTTCCTGTAATTTCAAAAAAATAATGGATAGTGTTCTGAGATGGTTGTTGTAGGTTTTTTGGGCTTTTTGGCCATGTTCTGAAGGTTCTTTCTTCATAATGTTTCACCATTCTCTGTGGCTGGCTTCTTCAGAGGACAGGAGTTAGAACTCCGTGTTCTGGTGTAGTGTAGTTTAGTGTTTGTAGCTGTGGGATCAGCCTTTTGTCTTTTTCAGGAGATTGGGTAATTATGGTGATCAGGATGTTTTTTGTTATGGGTGTATGTTGTGATAAGGGTTGGGGGGAGATGATCTGTCACTGTGATTGATCAATACTTCAATACTCTTGGATGCAGTTCATTCAGCCCTGGAGATTTAAACTCATTCAACGTAATAAGGTATTCCTTGACTATTAGTTTATCAATCTCCATCATCAGTCCTGTCCCTCAGGAAAAGACTGAGCTAAAATAGGAATTGAACACTTCTTCCTTTTCTTTGTCAACTGTTATAATCCCTTGCTGCTTCTCTGTACTCTTCCTTTGTGGCCTGGCCTCTTGCCACTTCCTATATGTGTCCTTTTTTGTTTCCAGGTCTTCCTTCTGAGTTTTTTGTGAAGCCATACCAGCCTTTTTTCCCTATCTCCCATCCTTTTTTCTTATTGGAATTGTTTGTGTTTGTGTTTTTAAAATTTCCTTTTTTAGAAACTTCTACCCTTCTTGGACTCCATTTCTTGTTAGGATCCCCTGCCATGGGACCTTACTTATCATTGTGCTGAGTTTATTAAAAGTGGCTTTTTAAAAAATCCAGCATGCCTGTGTAGCTACACTCTGCTTTGGTTTCCTTTGAAATCAAAGATTCTAGCAGAACATGGTCACTCTTGCTCAGAGTTCCCCTTACTACCACTTCCTCTACCAAGTCATCTCTATTGGTTAGAAAGAGGTCAAGGTTAGCTAGCCCTCTAGTTTCTTTCTCCACTTTTTGTAGGAGAAAATTATCACTTACACAAACCAGGAATTTCTTGGAAGGGCCATACTTGGCAAAATTTACATCCCAACAGGTATGAAGATAATTGAAATCTCCCATCACTACTACTACATTGTGTCTCTTCAAAATCTTTGCAATTTGTTTTTCAAAAGTTTCATCTGCATCCTCTCCTTGATTGGGTGGTCGATAGTAGACTCCAGCTACCGTGTTCTTTTTGTTTTTCACTCCAACTGCATTGATCCAGATGCTCTCAGCGGGACAGCCAATCTGCTCCTGTACAGTATTTCTTTGCACGAATGTGTATTTTTGACATATGTGCACTGGCGTAAAGTGTGAACACAATCAGTACAGTTATCAGATACATGCACTATCAGGTAACATGGTCAGCAGCAAATTCTAGCTGAGTCTATGTTTGAACTCTGCTTCTTTGTCATGTCAGAATGAAACTACTGGATGATAATGGTTAAAGCTTTTCAAGGATGAGGAGATCACAGAGAAGTTAAATAAATTCTTTGTTGCTTGCCTTCTCAGCCCAAAATGTGCAACAAATACCCATGCCTAAACACAGATGTTTTCAGGAAGGAAGTTTGAAAAAACATGAGACAAATACTACTGGCAAGAGTGGAACTTCTATAACTTAGTGATATATTGAAGATCGTCAGATCACATGCAGATGGTATCCATTCAGGACTCCTTAAAGAGCACAAATGTCTAAAATGCCAGTTCAGCCTCCTTTTACATTACAGTATTCATGTAACTTGCAGTATTTTGCTCTTTGATAATAGGAACTTTTAAAATGTCTTTAGTAGGGGAAACTTCATGAATCTTGCTAAGCCTGTCATGTGGACTCTTTTTAGTTGAAACTGTTCTGTGTTTTCCTATTTTCTTCAGGCTACCAGAGAGAGCTGCTGTATCAAAGGGATGATGGTTCTTTCAGTGCTTTTGGAAACAGTGACCACTCTGGAAGTACATGGTAAGTGTCTTGTCCTGCTTCCTCTCCTTCTTAATAAGTGACATGTGATATGAATCATTTTGCATTACTCAGTTGTGTCAGTTGCTTCATCATTCAGAATCTGCCCAACCAGCAATTTCATGTGCAAACCTTAAATTCAAAGTTTAGAATATAGTATTAGATTTAAAAATGGTTACTTAAAGTTGAATCTTGAAAATTGAAGAAATGACCTTTTGTTATTAATGCTGAAATCTGAAAACATTCAGTTCATTAAACTAACATGTTTAATGCGTTGATAAAAGACTTCCATGCTCCACCCCATCAATTATTTAATGTAAATGTTATTTTAAAGGAAGGTATAGGCTTTTTTCTTTTTGGAGAGGAAAGAATGAGTTGAAGTATGCACAGGGTAGTCCCACTAATCTTTTTTCTCAGCACACTAATTACAGGCAATTAACATATACAAGTTTTTCATCATGGAATCATAGAATCACAGAGTTGGAAGAGACCACAGGGGCCATCGAGTCCAACCCCCTGCCATGCAGGAACATCCATCAAAGCACTCCCGACAGATGGCCATCCAGCCTCTGCTTAAAAACCTCCAAAGAAGGAGACTCCACCACGCTTTGAGGCAGCCTATTCCACTGCTGACCAGCTCTGACTGTCAGGAAGTTCTTCCTGAGATTCAGATGGAATCTCTTTTCCTGTAGTTTGAAACCATTGCTCCTTGTCCTAGTGTCTGGAGCCGTGGAAAACAATCCTGTCCCTTCCTTGACATGACATCCCTTCAGATATTTAAACATGGTTATCATGTCCCCTCTTAACCCTCTTTTTGTAAGGCTAAACATTCCCAGTTCCCTATGCTGCTCCTCATAGGACATGGCTTCCAGACCTTTGACCATTTTGGTCGCCCTCCTCTGGACACGTTCCAGGTTGTCAACATCCTTCTTGAATTGAGGTGGCCAGAACTGGACACAATACTCCAGGTGAGCTCTGACCAAAGCAGAATAGAGTGGTACTATCACTTCCCTTGACCTAGACACTATAGTCCTGTTGATGCAACCAAGAATTGCATTGGCTTTCTTGGCGGCCGCATCACACTGCTGACTCATGTTCAGCTTGTGGTCTACCAGGACTCCTAGATCCCTTTCACAGGTACTGTTGTCTAGCCAGGTGTCTTTCATCCTATATCTGTGCAGTTCATTTTTTCTGCCTAGGTGTAGGACCTTACACTTCTCCCTGTTGAAATTCATTTTGTTAGTTTTGGCCCAGGACTCTAATCTGTTAAGGTCATTTTGAATGTTAAACCTGTCCTCTGGGGAATTAGTAACCCCTCCCAATTGGGTATCGTCTGCAAATCTAATCAGCCTGCAGTGGTGCCTTGACTTACGACCGTCCCAACATATAACCATTTTGAGTTGCAACCAGCTCCGGCTGCAAAATGTTGCTTTGACTTGTAACCGGAGCTTTGAGTTGTGATCAAAAGAGGCAGGAGAAAAAGGCGGGGAATTCAAATTAGAGGGCTAACTGTTGGTTGGCGAAGAGCTTCTTTGTAGCTCTTTTGCCCCATTGGTTAGAGTGTGTGCGTTGGAGGAGGCTTTGGACTGCCTGGTGCTGCTTTCTGGTTCCGAATAAGTACATTTACAGTACATTTACTGGGCTTGGGCTGCGGGGTTATGTTTCTGTGCTGTGATTTTTTTTGGTGTGTATTTTTTCAGCCCCAGTGCCTTCCAATGGGGCTTGCTGTGCTGTTTATTTTTTTTTAAAAGTCCCAGTGCCTTCTGATGGGCTGCTGTGTGCTTTATTTTTGCTTTGGTTTTTTTTTAAAGCCCCAGTGCCTTCCGACGGGGCTGCTGTGTGCTCTTTTTTATTTTTTTTATTTTTAAAGCCCTAGTGCCTTCCGACGGGGCTGCTGTGTGCTCTTTTTTATTTTTTTTATTTTTAAAGCCCTAGTGCCTTCCGACGGGGCTGCTGTGTGCTCTTTTTTATTTTTTTTATTTTTAAAGCCCTAGTGCCTTCCGACGGGGCTGCTGTGTGCTCTTTTTTATTTTTTTTATTTTTAAAGCCCTAGTGCCTTCCGACGGGGCTGCTGTGTGCTTAATTCTTGGTTTTTGGGTTTTTTTAAAAGCCCTAGCACCTTCCAATGGGGCTTGCTGTGTGGTTTATTATTATTATTATTTGTTTATTATTATTATTTTTTGGCTTAATTGCATTCCAATGCATTCAATGGGAAATGGTGCTTCAACGTACGACCATTTCGAGTTACGACCATCTTATGGTCTTAAGTCGAGGCACCACTGTACTCTCTATGCCTTCATCCAAGTCATTGATAAAGATGTTGAATAGCACAGGGCCCAGAACAGAAGCCTGAGGCACCCCACTAGTTACCTCTCTCCAGGATGAAGAGAACCCATTGGTGAGCACCCTTTGGGTTCAGTCAGTCAACCAATTACAAAAGATCAGATTAGTCTGGAATGACTTGTTTTTGAGAAACCTGTGTTGACTTTTAGTGATGACAGCATTGCATTCTAAGTAATAAAAACTGTTTAATTATGTGCTCTAGAATTTTTCCAGGAACTGATGTCAGGCTGACTGGGCGATAATTATTTGGGTCTTCTTTGTTTCCCCATTTTGAAGATAGGGCTAACGTTTGCCCTCCTCCAGTCTGTGGGGACTTCTCCTGTTCTCCAAGAATTCTCAAATATTATTGCCAATGGCTCTGAAATTACTTCTGACAGTTCTTTTAATATCCTTGGATGTAATTTGTCTGACCCTGGGACTTGAATTCATTTAGAGTAGCCAGGTATTCCTGTACTACTTCTCTACCTATTCTATGCTGCATTTCCCCCACTACATCAACTGTTCTTCACCCCTCAGGTTGAGCACTATTTTCCTTTTTGGAGAAAACTGAGGCAAATAAGGTGTTGAGAAGTTCCGGCTTTTCCCTGTCTTCTGTTAGTAGTTAGCCATCTTCTCCATGCAGCGACCCTATCATTTCCTTGTTTTACCTTTTGCTGCGGGCATCACTAAAAAAGCCCTTTGTTGAAGGGTTCAAGTTCTCATATTGGTTGATCTGTTGGTCTGTCAGTCAGTCTGTCTTGTTAGAAGCACCACAGTACAATTAATATATCAGACAAGTTTCACACAGTAATGGTAATATCAAGAGCATGTGCAGCATGCTTTCATATCTTTCATAGTCCATGTTGAGGGAATAGAGTACACTGACATAGATTGCCACTTACATACTGCCACATAGTGCTAGAGGCCCTCTGGACCTTTTACAACATAAATATGCAAGGAACAGTTTGCCCCCCCAGCAAGCTGAATGCTTGGTTTACTGACCTCAAAAGGATGGAAAACTGAGTCAACCTTGAACTGGCTTTCTGAACTCTTTGGGATCAAACTCCTGTTGTGAGTGTGGAGGCTTGACTGCAATACTGCAGTTTAACAACTGTGCTATAGGGCTCTTGAAATTGCCTCTCCTTACATGCTCACAAAGGACAGTGTAAGTGTGAAGCCTCATTGTCTGATATTGGTGATACTTCATGAATGAGTTGCCCCGATGCAGTGGAAATAGAAACAAAACAGAAAGAACTCACCCTATGAAAGTATCTGACTCAAAGTATTTAATTATCACTTCACCTTAGGCTATCAGCTTTTGTACTGAGAAGTTTCATTCAGGCCAAACCGTTCATAGATATTGATCCGTATATATTGGAGATAACAGCTGCTTGGATTGCCAAGCATCAGAAACCCAGTGGAGAATTTCGGGAGCCTGGAAGAGTCCTACATACTGAACTACAAGGAGGCACGAATAGCTCCATCTCACTCACCGCTTATATTATGGCTGCCCTGCTAGAGTACCAAACAGATAAGGTAAAAATAATTGATGTTAATGTGCACCTGCAGTGCAACTCAATGATACTTTAAAGTGGAATACAATCGAAAAGAGAACTGCACGCATCTGAAACCATCTCATACCAAGGGTTAAAAACTGAGATTTAAACACTCATAGCAAGCATGTGTTCTACCACTAAATGATGCTGCTTCTCTTCCTCCCTCTGTCAGAATAGCAGTCTGCTTTATTTGTGGGTGGCAACAGATTTTTAAATAAATACATATTTAGTTTAGTCAAGAGACTGGGAGATTCTGTATTTGGTGTCAGGGAGCTATCCCTTTCTTTAGAAAATGCTCCAGAGTCTGGAATTATATTCAGTAAACTGACACATTCACAATTTGTCAATCTTCTAATAAAGTTGGTGCTATCAAAAAAGAAGGACCTTTTTTGTGGTAGTGGGACATATAGGTATCACATGTAATGTTTGGTTACATACTTCTGTGCGTTACATATATGGCCAAAATCCTGTTGTGTTGTGTAGTAAATTGCACTAGAGTAGGCCCACTGAATCAATGATAATTTAATGAGTCAACTCCTACTCTTAATGGTGACTTAGCATAGTAAGTCACCATTAGTGTAGATCCACTTGAATCAATGGTACAGAGGAGCTGACTCACCAAATCTCCATCAATTAAGTGGGCCTAATCTAGTGTGATTTACTAAACTAAGCAACAGGATTTTGGCCGCTGTATGGTGTCATGATACATAAAATTCCCAAAAGGGAGATGTAACACTAAAATGTGAGGGAATAGCATGGGTTTTCATCATTTGAAATATTTTCTCCTTATAGGTGAAATACTTTTTCTTTTCAAAAAGATTTTTTTTGGTAAAACTTGAGTAACTTAAAAAAAA